ATTCGTAACCACTACGCTACCTATTGATAATTACACTGAATATTAAAGGAGAGAGTAGCAGAATGGATAAGAAAACAGGATCCTTCATGTATATAAGGGTTACAAGTTAAACACAAAGACAAAAATAGATTCAAAATTAAAGGATGGAAAAAATATATCAAGCCAATTGCAATATAAAAAGGAGCAGGAGTGGCAATATTAATCTCTGATAAAATAAAAGTTTAAGGCAAAAAACAAGCATAAGCGACAGCGACACAACAACAACGTACTAATGAAAGTATGTAAACCATGATTTTTGCCTCACCCTGCATTAGAAAAGTTAAGGGCAACCTAGCTTTGATGGCTTGATGACCAGAAATCAACTAGAGGAGATAAAGGAATTTGATAAAGGAAGCAAGTGTAAATTGCTACAACTTGATGAACTTGATGGATGTAGTAGCTCAATATACCAACTGAGAGTGAAAGATGCTTCATATCAATAATCAATCATATCCCCTCTGTATACAGGGTTGATAGGGATGGACGACTTAGACATTGGCTACCTAAAATGGGGAGGGGAAGGGGTACTATAAAGGAATGAAATGACTGGTTTACAAGTTTTCAAGAGAGAGTTTAGTTTTAGAGTGTGCAGGGTAAGGTAGAATCCCCACTGAATAGTTTTTATCTTGTCTACATGGGTCTGGTGAAAGGAGATGGAGATAGAATTCTTTTGATTCCACAGTGAATAATTGTCATCATGACTAAGTATGATTGTCACAACTGTAAAGGTAAAAGTTTTGTATCAAAAAGGGGGGTACTCTGTAGTACCGTAGGACCACCAAGAGAGAAGAGCACAATCGGAACGTGGGACCCTAACCAGAGAAGCAACGACACCAGAGAGGAAGGAAGAGGTGATGGCCTGGAGAGATTGAGCAGCTGAGGACTCTAGACTCATGGAAAGAGTAAGGCTGTGGGCTGGTGGCCAGAAGGTGGGCTTGCAGAATGTGCCCTTTGGTTGTTTAGACGATTATATATCCCTGCATGTTTTTGTGTACATCAAAAAAAAAGGGGGAGAGGGGAGGAATAAAGGCAAATACTGTTAATCGAAGATGCATGGAGGGGACTATAAATCATTGCAGTTGAACAAAATATAGTAAATTGAGTGTAAAACCAATGTTTTCCCATGTAAGCTATCACTCAATTCACAATAAAAGCTTATAAAAAAAAAACACGAGACATTATCTCATGATTAAAGGGTCAAAGAACAAGAGGACATAACCATGATAAATAATACCTATACATCCAACTAAAGAGCCTCAAAATACATTAAGCCAAACCCTAATAGAATTGAAGAAAGAAATAGACAACTCTATAATAATGGGAAATT